ATATATCAAGCATAGTAAAGATACATATATATTAATTAATTAATATTTTAGTTTCTTTTATGGGTGATTACATCACTGCTTTCCCCACTGTCTAAGTAATTGACAGTACATCATTAATATTATATTTTTCATTCAATAAATTTTCTAGGACTTCTTATGAGTACATTCTTTCTATCAATAAAAAAGGTCATCAGGAAATTACAGAATAGAATCACATATAGTATTTGTAGTGAATAATGAAAACAATGAAGACATTTAATTCAATATGCCCACTGTTCACTGAGTTTGTACTGTGCAATGTCCCTGTACAAGACATGAAAATGAATAAGAGATCGTTCTTAATTGCTAGAATTCCACTGTCTAGAAGAAGACACATATAAATGAAACAAACTGTGGTTTGTAGACACTTGATATGTGAGTATATACATACTATTTGAAAAACACAAGAGGTAGAGATTTTGATTCTCCCTTAGGTTTGAAGATGAGGTCAAATTAAAGTGATGAAAGAGATTATTTTGGTTTAGATTTTAAAGTCTGGTGGTGCTTAATAGAGTTAGCAATAACCTAGAAGTATGTAAAAGAAAAAGAGGTATCACGATGTAGGTGAGGACACAGGACTGCCACAGGCTGTAAGAGAGCAAAGGCTAGAGAGGTAGGCTGGGATGCATACTGAAGAATCTCAAATACCTAATTTGTTGTGTGGATGTGGCACTGGCAAACTAAGTAAGGCTTTGCATGGGGGAATCAAAGTATGTAAGAAACATTTCTGAAAACAATTCATATGATAATGGGAAGAAGAAGATAAAAGGGACTAGAAGGAAATCAGGAAGAGCTTAGTAATTAAATTGGAGATGTAGAAAGGAGATGCTTGTTTCAAGACTGAGTTTCAGATAGCTGACACAGATTCATTTGCAGATGTTCAGCAGACATTTATAAATACAGAAAACATAGGAAAGACCAGGGCTGAGCTTTCACATTTCAAAACTATCCTCAGTTCTAGAGTTTCATATTATTTTGTGATCACTGACTGAATCACTTTGATTTTTTCTTATCTACTGTAGCATTATATTGCAAAGCCTATTGCATTAATTCTTCTTTCATTTTGGGTTGTTGGACCTTGACTTGTGATGATTAACGCAGAAATGGTTCTCTGAGAGGAGGCTCAGTTGCTCCTGTTATCTTGGCTTCCTTGCAGTGGCCTGTGTCAAGGGAATGTGTTTGGAAAGTAAAAAGTGTATCTCTGTGCTTTTGGCAAATAGAACCAAAAGTCTATCTTTCTCTGCTGCACTTAACACCATTTTAACTTCTCAGATCTTTCTCTCCCCTTAGGTTTCTGTTTTCTCTCTCTTGAAAGTGCATGAACCTGTGTTATTGTATCCTGGCACCTTGACTAAAAAATACAAATACTTCATCATGACAACATTCCTGACTACTGTTGTCTCTCAAATAGTGGCGAAAGGAGAAATAGCTATGGCACTAATCTCTTTCATGTGACTTTAATGTCTTTTATGTGAATGTGTGGTTTATTTAGAAATTCATTGGTTTGTTTATTTTGAAATTTTAAACTAACTTCTTATAAATAATTCTTTGCCTCTCTTTTTAAACAATTTAGGATAAGCAACAGTACTTTACTGTGTCATAGACTAATGCTACATCAACTTAAATAGATATTGTAATATTAATTATATTAAGTAATTGATAAAGGTTTCAGTGTGCCTTGATCTAAGAAATAAATATGAAATTGTAAATTACTTGCTGAAATGGTAAAAATAAAATTTATTTCTCAGGATCTTCAGCTCTTCATACATGAATCTGCAGTTCTTTCCCTCTATTGCCATGTTGCATTTTGCAAAACTATAACCCAAGTTAATGCCAGTGATAGTCCTCATAACGGTTAACTTTCTAAAATAAAGATTAGTATTAAAGAGAAAAGTGGAGTTCTTAAAATAGTTAAAAAGCAGAGGAAACATACTGAGCTTTGAAATTAATACAACTTTTCAAAGATACATTCTTTCTTATGTTCTAAGTTGATTTGCTCTGATATTATTTATACATTTTTGTTCACGAATATTTGTTAGTATTTCCTGAGTGATTAATTTTTTTATTTTAGAATGTTGAAATAATTCTAGCCCTTTCACAGTATGCAAGTGTAAATTTAAGGCACATTATCATTAAAGTCTGAATTAAATTCAGAGTACGCTCACATTATTTCTTCTAGTGAGTCATTGGTAAGTTTACTTTAAATACACTGTAATGTATTCAGTGAAAGTGTTCCCTGAATTGTAGGACTTAACATATACATACCATTCTCTTTTGGAAAATCGTCATATAATAATTTAAACAATATAGGAATGGAATCATATGGAACATGTATTATTCATGTGTTGCAAAAACATACAGGCTGTAAATGAGCTTCATTCTTCTGCACAAGGAATGTTTAAAATGTGGTTGATGCTTGCATATGGCTGAGGAAGTTATGATGAAACTATCTTTACCTCAAGAAAGAGTGAGTTACTTGGAGGCAGCCTGGATGTCCATTTGTGTAGTGTGCAGGAGCAGACGAGCTCTCCAGTATATAAAACTCACTAGACAACTACATTTGTTTTTAGGTTCAATGGTAAATGGATGGGGCTCTGCATCTGATGAGGATTGTAACTTTTCTAGTTATAGATCTAGTGTAGGTAGCTCCTCAGATGGCTCCATCTTTGCCAGTGGCAGTTTTGCACAAGCACTCATGGCCGCAGCAAATAAAGCTGGTTTTAGGCTGGATGGAACCAGCCTTACAAGAACAGGTTGGTAGATTTTGAGTCAATGCTCTTTGTATGAAAGAATCTTGTCCTTTGGACACTGGGCTGTTTTTCTTCTCTTCTTTTTCCTCAGTGAGTCTGACTACAGGGCTTTCTTTAACATGCATGGACACAGCGTGGATGCTCAGTTATGAGAACTCTCCTCTGATGCTCGTTCTGCAAAGCCAAGAATAGGCTACTATACAGCACCTTCTGTCCTCTATTTCCTCTTCCCTTCACAGCTCTGCTGATTAACTGGAATATGCTTCCTTTTTATATAGTACAGCAAAGCTGAAACTAAGATTGCCATTAAATTTTCAATAACTCACACTTTGCAAAATTCTTATACAAACAATAATGTACCCAGTGATCAAAATTATTGAACCTCTATCTCCATTACTTTCCTTTGCTCCATTTCTTTCTGCAAATGCACTTTCTAGGAAGGCTTTCTCATTATGGGGTGAATGGGTTTAAGATTGTCAGTCTAACAGTTCAATGGCTGATGGTCTTATTAATTGTTCGGCTATTAAGATTTTAAACCAATAATTTGTTATTTATTTTAAGGGATGCTAATCAAAGATATACCTACTGCATTTGCAAGTTGAAGAAAATCACTACATGTGTATTGCTCTTCAACATTATCTAATTTTGGTTTCTGAGAATAAAAAGTAATAATATAAAAAATTATGTAATTTTGTATGTATCTGTATTAAGTTCAGAATACATTCACCCTAATTATAGACCAGTTATTTGTAATCATTTGTTTTACTGAAACAAAATAACTTTGGCATGATTCCTGTTATTACATGACTATGTGCACTTCTTAAATGCACATATGTAAGTTTAAAAATATGAATTAAACTGAGATATATTACAAAGAGTGATGAAATTCTAAATGCATTTTTGAAATCCTAGAAGTATTCAATTACCAAAGTAAAGAAAAATGATTTCGACCCTTCACTAAACTCTCAGGTTATAAAAAATGAGTCTTGGAAATTTTCTTTGAATTATTCCATCACTATTTATTTTGCATATGCATTAAATATCTTCAAATGAAATAAAAAAGATATTCCAAGCTTTGCAGAGGTTTATTTTTTATTATAGCATCTGATCTAAAATATGTTGTAATCTAACGGTTATTTGAATTTTCTTGCTTTTTAAGGCATAAGTCAGGAACTTTTTGTAGCCTGAGTGCTCTTGGTGGCACAGCTATAAGCAGAGCAGTGAGACAATGAAAATAAACTAATAAATTAGAAAGTATAAGTCCATTTCTTGCATGCATGCTAATAACTAATAAAGCATTAAGCAATATCATGTCACATTGACTTAAGAAAATATAAGTATACACAATAATTTTGTATGAAATGAAAAGATGCACAAGAAAATAAATACATGTACATAAACTAACTCTTTTACTGTAGTAAACATGGTATTAAAATCATAACGTGAAAAATTTATTAGCTAACATTTTCCCACAATAAATTTCCCTATATATGTACTCTAAACCATAAGAAAAGGACATAGCACATTTCATTTTTCAATAAGAATTTGTAGTCTGCTCAAATACAATAATATCTGTCAGAACATACCTATTGCAGTTGGATATACAGGGTGATTTTAACCTGCTGTATATGCTATACTGTACACTGACATTATTGAGATTCTGTAAAAGAGGTAGAAATTCATCGTGTGTGTATGGGTGGTAAGGTCAATTTAATATATGTATCTGAGCAGACCTTGCATGTAAAACTTCTAATGTAATTACTACAGAACAATTTTCTGTGCTCAAATAGAGTTTATAAGATTCCAAGGATGAAATTTGAATTAAGAAGACAGTACATAATTCATTTCAGAAATAACTAATTTTAAGAAGTAAAAGCTACATGAATTTGCATATATCTATGAAAATATCACTAAGATAGTCAAGGTTAAAAGTATAACCAAGTAATACTTAATACTGAATCTTTGGTTGGTGAATTGTTTTACATACATTTGTTTGAATTTGTTGAGTGGGTAGTGTGGTTATTAAACATTGGACAAAATAAATGCAGCAGGGCCTATTTTTTTCCATGGAGACACACCAGGATTTGATATCCTCCAGGGTCGCCTCTAGGCAGGTTTACAGGTTAGTCTTAGTAAAAGAAGAAACACAAAACAGAATCAGTGGTTTATAATAACATTCTCTCTACCCACTGCCCTTTGTTTTCTTTTTAGGCAAAGGCTTTACTTCCTCCCAGAGACCTCGGCCAACCAGCCCATTTTCTCCTGACAGTAGCAGTGCTGCCCTGAGTCAAAGTCAGAGGCCTCGGCCCACTAAGAAACACAAGGGAGGGCGAATGGACCCACAGCCAGCGTTGCCTCATCGCAGGGAAGGCGTGACAGATGGTAGGCTGGTCTCCTCTCTCCTCTCCTCACTGAAGAGATATGTTCTGCGCAAATCATTAATTTAGATTAAAGGAGCTACGGTAGATTAGACATAGCCTCATCACATAACAAGGGAGAAAACATGGCAATATGGTCTTGTTTAAATAAAACACCTTCTTTTTAAAAAATCGGGAAGTATTTCTGGATTACCAAGCCCTAAAATATATCTGCCATACCGCTTTTCAAGGTTGATTTTTCTGCCAGTCTGGCATTGTCCATTAATACTTGTTAGTGAACATTCTCCTTTGGGATTAGGACAGGAAAGATAAGTAGCATGTGCCTGTGCCATGTTGTCAGAACATTTCTGATATTAAATGAAGATATCATAGGTGGTATTTCACTTTTGCAAAAGACTGTGAAGTGACTTGTAACTTAGTAATTTTTTAGTTGCATGAATTTCAGGGCTTAAAGCATGCTACAGATGATCTAACTGATGGGAGCACAAACTTTTCTGTAAAAGTCCAGTTAGTAAATATTTTAGGCTTAAGCAGGCCATATAGTCTCTGTCACAGCTACTTGACACTGACACTCTAACACCAGTGCAGCTATAGAAAAAAGTAAAATGTGTGTGACTGATTTCCAATAAAACTGTACATACAAAACAGGCAGTGGCTGAATTTGGCACACTAGCCACAGTTTGCTGTTTTATTTCAATCCTTTTATTTATGTATAGCATCCAGTCCTTGAGTTTTTGCTAAACACTGCTAGTTTCAGGAATACAAAATTATTGGAAAATACATGTGTTCAAAAATGAGTAGTTGGTCAGCTCTACAGAGCAAGGATCTGTTTCCCATATATTCAACCTAATTCTCACATATAAAAATAACAATAAAAAATACCCTGAAATTTTATTCTAAGGAATATGTAAGTTAATATATTTAAAGAGCCCAATATAATGACAGCCACAAATAGAAATTTCTTCCCTGTTCTCAGCTCTATCCCTACAAGCACACAAACTTTATCTGGAGAGAGTGCTACTAAACACTAACAGAGGGAAACTAGCTAAACTGCACAGTAGAACCATCTAAGGGGGTTCTTAAACTATACCCTAGAGATTCTGATTTAATTGTTCTGGGGCAAAACTAGTTGTGGGGATTTTTAGAGCTCCATGGGGGAATCTAATATGCAGTCAGCCTTGAGAAGCTATGACTGAATCCTTAGCACTCATCTCAAGTCTCTTACACTTACCACTGTATAACAGAATGAGGTTTGGTTGAAAAGAAGTATTTATTTTATTGGTTTTGGGGGGTGGGTTTCTGTATCTGGCAGCCATCTTTATGTTGTCTTTTACATTTTAGAAAGCTACGAAGACTTTAAAAGCCAAACACAACTTGTACTGAAAGGTTTCAGATTTACTTACCTATCCTGTTTACTTTGTTTTCACTGGGAGGTGTGTCTATGGAATATGAGGGTAAAGGTACAATCTAGATTTGATTTTCTATAAATGGATATCCTGTGGTGAGCAAAGATGTTCACCACTGCCTTTCTGCCTCAGAGGACCTGAAGATTAGCTGAGCACTTAAAGCAGCCTGTAGTGTTGATCTCACTCCCTCTAAATAAAAAGGACTACTCTCACTGATAACTAGTTATGAATCTCAAAATTAATAATTCTGTGTAATTTTCCTGTGATGAATATCATGGAAAGAGAAAAAACTTACAGGTGTGTGTTTTTCAAGGGGTTTTCTGAAATGTTTGAAGATTAAATCCACAATATGTGGAAGTTATGTAATACAAATCAACAAAATAGGGAGATTTTTTTTCCTAAAACACTTTTTTTGCATGCTTATTCAGAATGATTGGTTAAAGAAAACTACCTCCTAATTAAAACATGATCAATGTAGTTCTTATCTTTAAAAAAATATGTTCCTAACTTTTCAAATTTTCCAGCATTTAAAAAAAAGGAGTTTTGTATTATTAGTAGATACATTTTGGAAGTAGTAAAATTGCAAAGGAAATTTTGGTCCACATGCCTTACCAAGTGTTTGATCCAAAGACATTTTAGTTATGATACAAGGACATTTATTTTGGATGGCACTGTACAGATTATTCTTAAGAATATTGTTATTTTATAGCAAATGCATATGTCATAGCACTTATATGGTAGGAAGTCATGATTAATAATCACTTTATTATTTGTATGTGAATCAAACTGTTCTTTTTGGGAAGGTTGCTGTTTAGTAGCACTTAGTATATAGGCATTTTACACTAAATCTTTTGCATTATAGATTTTACAATAGTGCTTTATGAGTATATTAATCAGGGGAATTATTGCTAGCTGCTATACCAAACTACTTCTATCCCTCAGTGGCTTAGCACAGTAAGAGTTTACTTCTCAATAAAACAATGATGTATAAAGGTTGATGCCTCTCCTCTAAGTAGTAATGCAAGAATGATTCTTCTTCATTATTGGGACACCACTGTTTTCAAAATGGGACCTTTATTTATGGTTTCTGAGTGAGGGAAAGAGAGAACATGGTGGACCACTTGGGAGGCTCTATGGACAGGCCTGCAGTGGCACATATCATTTCTCTTATTTTGTTAGCAAGAACTCTGTCACAGGGCATCAAATGAGCTACTGGGTTGGGAATGTAATATTTCTCATAGTCAATAAGAGAAGCTGGAAGTGGTAGAAGCATCAGGCTCTGTCCCAAAGGCTTCCCACCCACACATGAAGAATGTTCTTGTCCCTTGGATAGTCTCTCCTAAATAGGGATTGCTTAATCTAAGTCTTCTATTCCATTTGCATTGCCAAAAAATACCCTTTAAAGCTAATACATTGAACAAAGAAGGGAGAGAAGGTAGTTCTTTATCCATCGACATTTTTTCCCTAGATCATCTCCTTCTATGTTGTCCTCACCTCATTTTTAATATGCTAATTGGAGAAGTGGCTTTTTCCAGGTTTGCCAAAGACTACCTTTGACCGTTTAGCAAGTTTGTTTTATTCATTAATGTATTTATTCAAATGTTTTTAAGCACATATCAAATGATAGGCAATGGGAACCAAAGTGACAAAATCCCCTCCTCTTCTGGAGTTTACATTCTAGTAGGGGAAGACAGATAAAGACCAATATAAATATATAAGTGAAAAATAAAGCATACAAGATGGTGGTACATGCCATAGAGAAAAAAACATAGGAAAGAAATTGAGAAATATCATTGGGGAGAGGTATTTTTAAGTAGAGTGCTCAGGAGGGGCCTCACCAAGAAGATGACATTTGAGAAAAGACTAGGAGCTCATAAATGAAAGAACAATGCTGATATCTGAGGAGAAGTCATTCCAGGAAATGAGAACAGCAACTGGACACCTGAAGCTTATTTGATGAAAAAGTACAAAGAATCATGTGACAAAAGTATAGAGAGCAACACAATAGAATATGAAGTCTGACAAGTTAGCCATGAAGGGCCAGCATTTTTAGGACCTTTTAGCTTTTATTAGAACATTGGATCTTACTTTGAATAGGAAACCACTGAAGGTGTGTTGCGTGTGTGCATGTATGTGTGAGTGTGCTCATATGTGTGTTTAAAGTAGAGGAGTGACATGATTTTGTAAAAACAAAACAAAACAAAAAAACACTCTCTTGTTATGTTGAGACAGACTGTGCTTCTAGGTGGCAACATGGAAACCATATGGGAGATTGTAGAAGTAACACAGGGAATAGAACTTAGAGATTCATATACCAAGGTAGAATCAGCAGAAGTGATGGAAGAGGTTGAATTCTGGGTATAGTTGGGAGGTAGAGCCCATATGATTTGTTAATTAAGTTAATACAGGCTCTAAAGCAGGGAAGTCAAAGATTACTCCAAAGTAAGTTTTGGCTGACTTGTGGAATGGAATTGCTACTAATGGAGATGAGGAACAATACAGAGGAAGCGTATTTTCTAAGTGAAGGACCTCAGATTGGTATGTTTGATATAAAATTTTAGATGCTTTCTAACATCTAGGTTGAACTGTCAGTTTTGATTTAATTATGGGTCTGGAGTTCATGAAAGGAGAGATCCAGGCTGGAGATACTTGACTTCTTTGATTTTCTTACCTAAAAAATGAAGATAATATTGGCACATATTTCAACCGACTGCTGTGTGTCTGCCAAAAACAAATCTTCAGTCAGCTAGTAAAGGACTCTAGTGAATTGATTTAGTTGAAATGAATCAACATGGAAATGAATAATAAATTTAATTTGAGTAAGCATATTTGATTACATACTTTTATTTTTTCCACAGCCATTCTTAACCCCATCGTTTTTCTAATTTGTTTGTTTCAATATGCATGCAATGTTCTTCCTTCTTAGAATATACAACTCTAAGAATATTACTTAATTATGTAGCCATATAATTTTGGTTAAATGAAACAGTAATCAGACTTTTAGCTAGCATCAGCAGATGCAATTTTGGCCATTTTAAAAATTAAGCTGCTCTGATGGAGAATAAAAATTAATGGTAAGGTATGTTATTTTGGAAGCAAATATAATATCTGCCCCCTATTGGAGACAGTGGTACCTGCCTATGGAGGCAGTGATACCTCCAATAACTCAAATGAAATAATTACTTTATATTTTTAATAATACATATTGAAGGAAGTCAAGATTGACCATAAAAGAAACACCAAACTCATCGATAGATTACTCAACAGATGTCTCAATATTGGTTTGGCTCTTCATTTTGGAAGAAATGTTCCAAATAAAACTTTATTCTCTCAGACAGAAACCCGATTCCTTTCAATAATCAGTAATTCATAATCTAACTAAAGGGCATGCATAAGAACTGGGAATGCCGCTCCAACGTGAGAACTCCCAAAGCAGATGCTAGGGAGATTATCACTGTTGACTCAGTGGAGGATGATATCATTCTGCTCATTAAGAAATGATAAAGCTTCCTAAGAATGTCTTTGAAAAGAGCAACTTAGCCTTCCTTATAGAAGCTATCACTGGACACAAGGAATTTATATGTTTCCCTTCAAATTTCATAGACAGTATTATTTGAAACAAGAGTAAAATTGCAAAAATGGCATGGGAAATAATTACCTATATTATATGCAGGGGCCTCTATTATTCATATAAATATGTAAATTATATGGATATTTGATCTTTATGAATAAATAATATAAATATTGATAATCTGAGGATGAACAAAGAAGTATGCAATAACATGCCAAAAAAATTAGAAGAAAATAATCCAAAAAGAGACTTAGAATGGTTAGAAGATTCCAAAACCTTCAGCAAAGAAATTTCAGAACTGGTAGAATAATATGAGCAATATACAAAAAATAGTATAATACTTAAAGAAATGTGAAGGAAGAAACCATTATTTTACAATTGAAAACATTCAAAATATAAAGCTGTCATGATCTGAAGAGCTAATAAAAGGAAAATGAAAAATTAGCTGAATAATCGGACTTTTAATTTTCTCATATCTGATATTTAACTTACTGAACTTTTCTGAAAAATTATCTATTCCACTATATCTCAGATGTCATGATGCATTGTCTTCTGTAGCACCAAGAAGCATATTCTATCTGTACTCTGAACATTGGTTATTACTTATTAAAATTAATACATTCAAAGATTATAATGTATTAGTTGTAAGTCATTAGCTAACTCATGAAACGAACAGCCAGAATTGGTTGTTAGGCAGAATGTTAATTGCATTTAATAAATATTAGCTTAACACTTTGACTGTTGCTAAATGTACCACATACATGGGTAAAGGCAGTCATATGTTGGATATGATACGGCGTAGAGTTCCTAATTTCCCAAGGGCAACATTTCCTGTGGAGATTGTCAGGGCAGGTTTTATTCTCACTAGGCCCCTTTATTAACACAGCTGCTAGAATTTCTAGTCATTTTGAGTCATAGTATTTTTACTTTGGGGAGATGGGGGTAGACAATGCATTAAATGTAAAGAAACCATAAACTGCAATTTGCACAATTGCAAATGTGCAACTGAAAATACTTTCCACATGTGGTGGATAAAACCAGTTGATTTTATTTCAAAGACCCTGTAATGAAATGATAGGAAGAGATCAATAATATGCATATTGGATATATATTATGACTTTCTCCCAAGAATTTCTTTTGCATGGGTGATACCTTTAAGAGGACAAGGGTTTTTTCTTCATCTTGAATTAAAACCTGTATTTTTCATTAAATTTTAGTCCATTCTCAACATTATTCAAAATTTTTAGATCTTCCACCACCACCAGACCCCCCTCCAGGTCAGGGTTTAAGGCAGCAAATAGGCCCGAGTCAGCATGCTGGTAACATGGAAAACTCAACAGAGAGAAAAGGAAGCTCTCTGGAGAGACAACAAGCTTCCAACTTAGAAGACACAAAGAGCTCATTGGATTGTCCAGCTAGAACGTGCCTAGAGTGGCAGCGACAAACTCAGGAATGGATAAACTCCACAGAACACCAAGAAGATATATGGAAAGCCCTACACAAACAAGGTGTTGGACCAGGTGTGTTCTGCACAGTCCCAAGAAAGTGTGGACTTTTACTATATTTTTGTTTTTTTTCTTTTTCTACCAGGTATTTTTGAAATGGCAGTTATTTAAGGGCATCTGAAATGCATTTGTCTTAAATCATTAACTGAAGCTGGAACTCCTCAATGGAGCTCATCAACACACGTCTTAAGGCTGATTGCAAACGAGATTGTTGCTCCAGTTAACCTCTGCATAGGGTCTTTGAGCCCAAGAGACTTCCAAACTTCATCTGTAGTGCTCAGGAAACAATCTGATTTTTTTATCAAGTACTTTTCAGTCCACTCAATTTCATCTTTAGTGTCAGTTTAATCTCTGCCTTTGACCAGTTTCATTTTGACTGAAGTAAGTAGTCATTTTGAACGGAGTACTTGCTTCAGTTAAATAGCTGCATTAATTGAAGTAACAAAAGTGCAGATAAATACCCAATCACAGAAACCCCATGTTATAAAAGGTTAAACTGGACCTGCTCTTTCTCCAACTGATTAATTTTAGTTGATTGTTAACACTTCAATGGGAAATGCTCTTGTTTACAAATCCTAGAATGTCACAAAATAAATGTCATGGTTTGTGATTGGATTTTTTTTTGGGTGGGTGAGGGGGGTCATTGAATCTGTATAGAAATGCATTTTCTAGAGCATTTCTTCAGGATTCGTTGAATATCAAGACATACACACAAATGCAACAATGTTTAAGAGAGTTTAATTTGGACTCAAGTTTTTCTACATATACCCTCTACTCATGCATTTTCAATAATTATATAATGTCACAACTTGGGGCTCAAGGTTCAGAAAATGTAATTTATGCAAGAGCCAGCATATTACAATTGTAAAACCTAGATTTAGTGAAACACTTAGGAAGTTTGCACCATTGAAGCTGTGAGAGAAAGGTCATGTGATCCTTTTCATTTCATGAAGACTATCTAAGGAGGGAAATGGTCATTGAATCCAATAATGATAGCCCATACCTACAAAGAAAAAACAAAGGAGGTACAGAAGAAGAAAAAGGAAGAAAGAAATAAAGAGAAAGAAAAAGAGATATTGTTACAAAGTATTGAGTATTTAGGAATACACACCCTCAGTTATTTGTAGAGAGATGGTACATAGAAAAAGAATAGTGACATGTTATTTATTAAAATAAATGAGTTTGTCTTTCTCTTTTAAGGAAATACATAATCTCTCAAATAACATGTTTCTATATCAAGAAACAACAGAAATTTAAGAAGCTTATTTTATTGACTAATATATACTTCTTTATCTAAATTGAGAAAATGTTTGCAATTCAAACTAAAACGCAAACCATGTTCCTTCACTCTTAATGGAAAAATTAAATTTGAGCCTCACTGAACTCCAGAAATCATTCTCAGAAATACTTTTGTTAACCATTATGGTTCATGGTATGCAGCTGTCTTTTATAATGAATTTAACTTTTGTAAATGATATGTAACATTGAATTTGTATCCCAAGTTAATCTTTTAATTTAATCCTGCTTCAGTTCCTATTATAGGAAATGTTGCTTGCACATGGTAACTGTCCTTATTAAACATCTTATTTTGAATTTTACTTGATAGTGAAATGATAAAATAGCCCATCTTGAGCTTAATATTTAAATGTGTTCCCCTTGTTGTTACTCAAATTCACCCTTTGTGTTCCTCTTCCAGAAGAGACATTGGTCCCTTACAGCAAGCCCAGTTTCCCATCTCCAGGAGGTCACAGCTCATCAGGAACAGCTTCTTCTAAAGGATCCACTGGTCCAAGGAAAGCTGAGGCCTTGAGGGGAAGCCACCAGCGCAATGCCAGCGACCTTCTTGATATAGGCTATATGGGCTCAAACAGTCAAGGACAGTTTACAGGTGAATTATGTAAGTGCTTTAGGACATGTAAAAGACTATGAAGTTTCAGAAAATATGTTGGGTTAAAAATGAAGGGGAAGAAAAAGTTTCCTCAACCCTTGTAGAGTCCCTGGCTAGGTCCAAAAAATTAAACTGATAAAATCAGATTCATAGGAAAAAAGTAGACAAGCTTTATTGAATTTTTACATGTACATGGGAGCCATCAAAATTTAATGAAGATCCAAAGAAATGACCAGAGTAGAATACACTTGTATATTTGCCTACATGCTTGTCTATAAGCTTGTATATTTTTAGACAAAGAAACAATACATTTGTGAAGAATTGACAAGACAAGGTTTTGGACTGAGGGTAGTAAATGGTGGAGAAGTAACTAGGAAGATAGGGTTCATTTAACAAGGTTGGTTTGTACAGATTCCTGGGTCCCAATGTCCCTGTCTCTGGTGGGGAATATCTCTCCCCTCTCTGGTACAGGGAGGTACCTTTTTACCTGGGAGCTACTATAACCTTTTTCACGGAAGAAGGGTGAGGAGGGTAGGGAGCTCAGAGTGAACTTGTGCTTCTACTGTTTTCTTGAACTCCTTCCCTTTAAGATATGCAGTGCCAAGGTGCCATATTTTGGAGGAGCATGTCCTGAAGTATTACCACAACAAAAAAATTTCAGAACAGTAGAACATTTCATTTACTATAAGAAAAAAAATCAATTATAATTTTGAGCAGATTTGGTTGTAACTTAGACCACTGCTGTTTATGGCAGTCAATAAGATAAACATTTCTTCTATTTCAAGTTTGATTTATACTATTCAAAACTTGTATTAATTTAGGCAATTAATTTAAGCAATTAGTCATAATATTTAATTACTATTAAGTTAATTAAATATAGTCCAGTTTGTAGTTTTCTTTGCCTTTTTAACTGAGCATGATAAAGAAAAGGAAACATATTGGCCTTAAGGTAGTTTTGAAGAATCTCCTTGGGAATTCCTCATTCTCTAGTAGCTCTTCATTTCTTTATTTCTTAGATTTAGGTAGTCAACCTTCAAAGTTAATTTTTGGTTTTAGTTAATTTGCAATACTTTGATTACAATAATATATCTTATAGATTCCTCTTTTTAAATAAAGAATTGGCATTGGTAGTTAGTATAACCAGTCTGTTTTCTAAATGTAAAATACTAGGTAATAGAGAAAGAAAGGATGTCTTCCTATTAGGACAGTATTCACAGTAAAAAGTATCGAACTTTGTCAGTTTCATCATGAAGGTGACCAATTTCGCTATCTATTGTCTGAATTATACCTCCTGAGTATTTTCAGCTGCTCCTTTGAACTTATTTTAAAAACACTGCTGAAGAAACAGCCCTGGGTTCCAGTTTTCTCAACCACTTACAGAATATGTAAGAAGAGAAATCTCTGTTCCTTATTCTATTTCCTTATCTAAAAAATCATGTGACTATTACGCTCACATCCCAGACTAGGGGATGTCATGAGGTAATGAAAAGTAAAAGTACTTTCAAAGCCTTGAAGTTCTTTGTTGATGGCAGTTATTCATTATTGTTGTTTGTTACTAATCTCATTTTTATTAAGATATGTTTATAATTTTTAATTTGATTCATATGACTTGGATTTTTCTTTAACTTTTATTTTGGAGTAATTGTAGACTCATGAAAAGTGCTAAAATATCTCTACTTAGATTTTAAATCTCCAAATTCTACAATGTTTCTTTTTCTTTCTCTTCCTTCAACATTTAATTTTTTTCCTAGTAAGTAAAATTTCTTAAAGTCACAAACTCACAAAAACTATTTGATGATGTTATCTTCATTTCTTATCTGTTTGCTTTGCCTTTTTGTTATGCTGTTCAGGATAAAAGAATACTTAATTTAAATGCAATCTTCTGATTTTTTTTAAATCTCTTTATAGAGTAACTGAGAGGAGTCATGCAAAGCTGCTCTGAAGGACCATCAGGTCTGAACTCATGGAAGTGATGACACTAAACAGTGCAATGAACAATTTCTTTATTTATGTACTAATAAAAGAACTGTAAATGCAATGTAAAGACACACAGCCACACATATCCCACAGATATTTTACTTGTGTTCTTCTCTTAAGTACACCACCCACCTTAACTCTTTCTTGTCAGGAGTATATAAAAAAGAAAGAAAACAAAACTCTCCCTCCAGGAAGAAAAGGATTTTCCTCTGTATATAATTTCTTTTGTGCATTGCTATGCAAGCTCACTCTTTTTAGCTCTGTTTATATTATTGTCTGTTTTTATTGGTCTGTTGTACTATATGTGAATTAATAGGCTGTGGTGCCATATATTAACTTTTAATTGTGTAACTTTTATGTTTAAATTTTGCACTGCAATTTTATTTGGTGATAAGCACAAATCTCTACTCCTCGTGACATGAAGAATAAGACTGAATGTGAAGGGAGTTTCTGTACTGTAAGCTAGGTTGGATAATGCTGGTTGTAACTAATCACATTAGTTGGTTTTCTGTTGGGGTGTAGAAATAGGAAGATGCAAAGAAACAGTGGTGTTGGCAAAGTCTTCTTTGAACATCAGGGACTGAGTCAATAAAAAAAAGCAGAAAGGTGGCTTTTTCTGTTGACAGAGGCAAGGGTCAAAAGAAGGAAGTTTAAGTCTTAAGATTGAACAGGCATTCAAATATACAGGTAGCAAAGATGTATTAAACTTGCTAAAAAAAAAAAGAAAGTTATATTTAGATTCAACTCTACTTGTAATTGACCCATTTGAGAATTACAACAAGCAAAAGCAAATTAAGGTGTTCCACAAGAGCTGTATTTATATTACAGTTTTTTAAGAAAGCATTTTCTGAATTACCATAATTAATTTCTCTAACTCATTAAGTCAGAATATAATATGAAGTTCCCCAAGGAAACAAACAAAATGAAGTCTAGAATCTCTAGCAAATAGTTAAAGAAGCAATTTATTATTAGGACATACTCAGGCTGCTTCCAAACACAAAAACCCTATTGCAATATCTTGTTTCATCTTTCTAATACATGTACAGTACACACTAGAGGATAGAGCTGCATCATTTAAATTCATGACTTTTTAAAAATAACGCAGTCAATATACAATTTTTTGTTTTATTTGATTAAGAAGTGAAGTTTATGCCACCAAATGCATAGCCAAATTGTAAGTGCTTAACAAGCAGTGCTCAGAGTATGTTCAGTTCACAGTAAGTAGATTTATTGGAATAAATAATTTATGGTACATTCTCAGAAATTGGCAACCAACTAAAATATGTTTGACCCATTTTGAATGAGTAAATTGCAAAGAAAAAGTTTTAAAGGAGAAAAATGCATGTTTATACACTTTTTAAATAAAGCCAAACCTCGTAAGTGGACATTAATAACAGTGTCCTGCCTCATTTGTTTTTATGACTTTGAGAACAAGAAATTCTTGAATATCAGTTATGTATGGTCAAAATGAAAATGACTTTGAAATACATGTTAGCTACTGTACATGTATAGTCAATCAGTCAAGTAGAAGAGAGCTTTCCCAAAATTTCCATGTGTGATATTTTTTCATGTGCTGCCTAAGCAATTTTGTAAATTCTATTTCTAGTTATACTTTCTCATGATTTTCCTATAATGTGTTCGGTAGTTGACACTTTGAAAAATATTCACTGTAATGATTAGGATCAGTTCTAAAATATGGGAGCCATTTGAATGATAATTCTTACTCTGTGCGATTGGCTCAGTCACCAATTCTGTGTCATATTGTTTATAGAAAAGTGTTGACATAATTTAATGTTTCCATCGTTTTTATTCCCTGAGACTGCATCAACACAGGCAAGTATAATGTTTATGGGCCCCAACAGCAAGATCTTTTTGGTGCCATGTAGTTGATTTTTTCACTGAAGAGAAAAAGAATTCTGAGACACACTTATGAAACCCTTTTTCAACTTTCTACCATCACTGCCTGAATTTCAATGCAGTTTGATTTCTCTGGGACAGAGACTGGAAAGATGAAGTGTTTCTGTGAAGAATGAATACATATGCTTATTCACAACTCTAGGAGGAATTTAAATTTTTATTTATGTAATTCCCTACTTCACTTTTCCTGATTTAAAGACAAAGTTTTGATTGTTGTGTTTCTTCTTGTGGTCCTCTCTAACTCAAGTTAGTCTAAAACTTTAACTCATTACACGTATTACACATAGCCTTTGGCCCATGGCAACTGGCAAGTGTATGTGACTAATAAGCCAAGACTTCAGAAATGAGTGTGTGTCTGCAGGTGATTTTTGGAACAATGCAGGGCATAGCATAATACTTTCCTTATTGTCTTCAGTGTATAAAAATGAACTCCTTTGGTTAGAATATATCAGTACAAACCTTCTGGTTACTTGGAGCATCCTTTTAGAATAGTCCACAGCCCCTGATAAATCTAATTTTAAATAAATTGGTCAGTCAAATCTTGTACCCCAAATATCATCATCACATCGACACAGAGCTAGATAAAATGCTATAGTATCCAAATTATTTCAAGAAAACTATAAAAAAAAACTGTCATCAACTTGCATATGCATAAAGAGCTTCTAATCCATGTGTCAGAATGTCATTAGTATACAAACACATATGAGAGCTACCATGATGTTTTTCATTTTGTAGCCAATCCAATGGATATGATTAGACATGCACTGAGCTCACTCTTCTGCAGGTCTAAAGAAAGGCTGGCTTAGCTGTCAGAAGGAAATATAGGCGGGGGAGGTTAACTTATCTTGCATTCACAGGAGATCCTGCTGTGCAGTCATTCCCCATAGAAGCACAGCTTATCCTTAACATGCAGTCTCCACTGGGACATAGCTGATCAGAGACCCAACTCAGGTATGCCTCAGTGTATGCACGCACCCACCCTGCCCCTTCTCCAAATCCTTGCCATGGCGTATTTAAAGTAACATGGAATAGTACAGGGGCATACAAGCAATTGATTCTTTCACAAGATTTGAATCCAGTTCAAGGGAGGATATAGGAAAATGAAGACCCTTCGGTTATATGATATTGTTATCACATAACCAAAGGGAAGTAAAATCTTTGCAAGTTTACTTGCTCTGGTAATAAAACAGAGTAAATGGTGTTCTGTGTCATAGTTTAATGCTCTGGGTATTTAAATATATCTTCAATGGAATTTGAGTTGAAAGTTTATATGAGCTTTGGTAGAAAACCTCTAAATTTCTCTTCAACAAATTTATGTCAGTGTCCATTAACAACATAATTATAACAATACCAACGAGCTCTGAACTGTGATTTATCTTCTCCACTGAAAAGTGATTGTGTATCAGTATTAAAAATATGCAGAACTACAACATTCACTAATTTGTTCATCTGCTACTGTATATTGTATTTGTAGAATTACATGACAAGAATTGGTGTAAAGCAACATGTCTTTCCACATTATCTTAGAAGTGAAATTACTTTTATTTTGCTTCTCTATAATTTGTACTTCAAATGAAACACCACACTTGTTTATAAATGAAGTTCAACTTACTAATTTTTCTTATCATAATTTTTCAAAAGCATTTATTGTGACTTTGAAGTGTTGCAAGATATGGGATTTTGTGGCCGTGGGTAGACTTTTAATACTTTGTTTTATAGACAGATTTTTTTTAAACTGTAGTTTGTTTAAGTCACCAAATAGTGTCCAAAATCTTAATGTGTTTCATTTGATGTTCTTAGATCATAAAAAAAATTGGCATAAAATTGGTTAAATAGTATTGTCAAACAATTGTGTATTGTGTACTCACTGGGAAAAAAAAATAAAATATATTCACATTTCAAATTTGTAAAAAAGCCCTTTATGTAAAATAGACTTGCTTGTAAACAAATCAAAAACAGACCATTCTGTCTTAGAACTCTATATGAATATTTTGTAATCAAGAGCATAATCTCATTTTCTCATCTAGTTATGGTTCAGACAGTGATAAATAGAAATTGGCATTGATTTATAATAGTGACTAAAGGACACTGATGAAGAATGTTGAAGTATTTGAAATTATAGATTTCACTCTATCAGCACTGCTTTCCAGATTGGACCTCTTCCACCCCATAGACTTTCAGATAGATAAAATACAAAGAAGTTCTTATCTATAAAATTACTTTTTAAAAATTATTTTTTTAAATGTAAATAAGAATGAAAATTGAAAGAAAGTGGATATTTCTTAATGGCTTTAGAATACAGCTAATGATACATTTTTTAAGATAATGAACATTGAGAAGTAAGTTATCTTAGAGACTGGGTAGAAAAGAAAAATTCCCTATTGTATTTCATAAATATTTCATTCTTTTTCATGAATTACAATTACAGGATCAGACTCACTCTCAAAAGGAAAAGAAGTTTATGTGTTCTTTAAAATAATAATTATGGTAACAGTAAAAATTTTTTAAAAAGGAAACTTTAACTCTGAAACAGTCCATTCAAAAATATTTTTAAAAGCATGTAGTAAAATGGACAGGCCATTTTAGAATTTAATTTAATTTAGGTTAACAATATGAAAAATAGAATTATATTACAGAAATTACAAATAACAGTACATTAATATAATACACTGGTGATATAAATTACATATGGCTAACATGAAATATGTATCAGTTATTAATATGACAAATCGTATAGAAATTATAAAACCATTGCTTAATTGAATCTAGTGTACTATGGCAACATCTACAAATGGCAAAAGTGCAAAAGTATCAAAATAGTTGACTAAAATAATATACTATGCTCAATTGGTAATTGTATATTAGCTAGAGAAAAGATACATCAACATTGCAAGAAAGCATTTAAACAATTTTTATTGCCTTCAATTTCTGAAAATGTGTTTTATCTCTTTCAAAGAGATCTACCTTGTTCATGCTAAATTTTACTTCATAGCAGAGTTGTGAGATACAACTGCACTAACAGAAAAATCAAGTTGTAAGAATTCAAAAGGAAAGGCAAGTAGAAGGACTTGCTAGTCAGGGACGATGATAAACTGTCTCCATAAGGTTGCAAGGACTCCTTTCACCAATGAATTTAGTTCAGTCTTAGCGTGCCCTTCACCCTGAGAAGGAAATCTCTTATGCCCAGGGAAGGAATTTGGTACATGAGAGTATTGCAAAGCTGTCAAGAATCCCAGAGACAGATAGACAAGTGTATGGCCATATGGTTAATTTATAACAAGCTACAAAGGTGACTTGCCTTTGCACCTTCTATTTGACACATTTTGTCTTTTCAGCAGTCAAGCTAGAAGAAATATATATATTGTTATTTTGATAATTAATCAAAGAAAGGTACTTTTGTGATGCAAATACAATGACCTTAGGTTCAGGTCAGTGTCCATGACAAGGAATTTACAAGTCACTGTAACTGCTCTTGGGTCATAGCACCATAGCACCCTTTGCCTATAAAAATGTCTTAACACATATAGCTTCCAAGCAGTAGACAACTTTTTGGCAATTTTTAAACAATGTTTTTCTAGACAAGATTTATGAATAATTTGTTTCTGACAAATTGGGTTTTTTTAAATTTATTCTTTTGCAAGCAAGTATTGGGAGATGCTAAGAATTAAATATTCAGAGTGGTTAAAACAGAAATAGCTTTGCCTTCAAAAGTAGATTAGCATCTTCTGTTAAGTCTGGCCTTGATCTCTAGGAAATTATCTTTCTGATGAATGTTTTTGAGCTAAGGGGAAAGAGGTAATAAACAAGCCTTTCAAAAACATTCACATACAATAAAATCTGCATTAGCTCCATTCACATCTCCCTCACCTCATCACATTATCCATATTCTAGTCTTTCTTCTAGTCTGTGGAATTTTAATAGGCATTTAAAGAAGAAGATAAAGGAATGGAAGCTCGATGGTTGAATATGTAAAGAGATTTCTTTACTACTTGACTCCTTTTAAATCTCATATGACATAAAACCCTCTATTCTGGGGCATCTTGTGAGAATAGTACTATGTGAAACCCACTTTGAGAAGTACCCTGCTAGAAGAAGTCATGCTCCATTTTGTCTGTAAGCTGTATATTAGTGGCCCCAAAGGCATGCATGCTCTGCTTTGCTGTGGTTTTTTAAAGACAATATTAAGCCCCAAGAAAGAAACCTGTGAACCCCAGGTATTCTGTGGAGATGTTGGAGAAAAAATATACAGTGAAAAATTGCATATATTCTCCCCATTTCTGACTAAGTTTCAAGTACTTAATTGAGGTCAGTGCTCAGCACTTGAGCAACACGTTTAAGAGTGCATATGTTCTTTGCTTTTCCACAATTCTTCTGCATACTGTTAAATTTCCAAACCATTAGGCTAAAACAAAAGCATGAATGTACACTCATTGTCTCCCCACACACACACACCAACTCCCAACTCTAACAAAAGAGAACTTTATTCATTTTTTATGACTACTGCCTGATTATTACTAGTTTCTACTTCTAATAGAAAGAGTGAAAAGGTTAATAATAGTGGATCACACAAAATTTAGGGGAAGAGAACTTATAATTTCTCAGTAAGACAATACAGAACAAAATTCCAGGATATAAACTAGTGAAATGTAGCTAACTAGCAATGACAAAAATCAGTGTACTCTGAAATGGATAAATACAAAAGACAATTGAGGATTGCCATTACATGAACTTTCACTGGCATTAAATGTAAGAGATGATATGTTATAAAGGAAATTAAGGTGAAATGGGGAAGAAGGGATTTAAATTTACTTGATTGGTTTTGAATGATAGTAGATGAATGAAATGAATAGATTAAAATGTCCCAATGTAGGTTACATAAGAGTACTTGCCTAAGGGCAATGGTGATTCTAATAAAAAAGATGGGAAGATTCAAGATGGTGGTGTGAGAGGTGAGAAGGAAAATTCCCCCCAAAACCACAAATAGTTTGAAAATGTAGTTAATTGATACAACTAACCCTAAAACAGCAACAAGAAAGAAGGTTGAACCAGACTGCATGCAGACCTCATGAAGAGAGCAGACCTCACGAAACAGGGTAAGGTACGAAAGCCTTAATCAGGCTGGACCCAAGCCTTCCTGCACCCCAGCTCACTGTTGGGAGGAGAAAAGGAGTGGAAGAGGGGGTGGAAGCCTGGGACTGCTGAACACCCAGCCCTGAAGGTCTCCTTTAGAAAAAGAAACCTACACTGTGTTGTGTTCTGGATGATGGGGAGCTGAGACAGGTGGAGTGCTTGAGAGACAGATTGTGGCCACTTGTGGAGGAGGGGATCCACTCCTGGCTGCTATGGGACAAGTGAAAGGCAGAAGGTCTGAGAGGCTTCCTAGCAGCGGAGGACTGCTGAAGGAGTGGGGTTTGCATGGAGCTTGCTGCATGGGGGAGGGGAGAGCTGGGCAAGTTTGTGTGGGTGTGCTCTACCCAGCCGGTTGAGAACACCAGGTGCCCCATGCCCCTGGATGTCTACTCAGCTCTGAGGCCCTCCACTGTGACATGCAGCCTGCTATGCCTTCCTCCTAGCCTGCCAACACCAGTTCACAAACCTGCAGTCACTGTGCTGGCATCAGGTCAGGCAGAGTGAGGCCCCGACTATGACAGGTAGAGACGCAAAGCACAGAGGCTTACACCTGTGTGCTCGGCCCACTGGCTCTGACACTGGAGACAGGACTGCAGACGGGAATCAGGAAACAGATCTTTCCTCCCCGCCAGGCACCAGCTCTGCTCCCCTACAATGCCCAATCTCACTCTAAGGGCTGAGCAGCTCCAGAGACTGGAGCTCCTGGGAAGTAGTGGGCACCACACAGAAATACGAAATGTCAAAAGAATATGTATGGTTCAGACCAAAATCTCACCAACCCCAGAAAAGGGGCCAAATGAAACTGAACTCACCAATCTGCCTGAAAGAGAGTTCAAAATTAAAATCATAAACATGCTTATGGAGGTACAGAAAAATATTCAAGATATCAGGAATGAATTTAAGAAATTCCATATCTGAAATGAAGCATACAATGGAGGGATTTAAAAGCAGATTAGATGAAGTAGAAGAGACAGAAAATGGAATAGAAATTAGAGAAGAAGAATACAAAGAAGCTGAGGCACAGAGAGAAAAAAAGAATCTCTAAGAATGTAAGAATATTGAGAGAACTGTTTGGCTAATCCAAATGGAACAATATTCGTATTATAGGGGTATCAGAAGAAGAAGAGAGATAAAAAGGGATAGAAAATGTCATTGAGGAGGTAATTTCTGAAAACTTTCCCAATCTGGGGAAGGAGATAGTATCTCAAGCAATGGAGGTGCACAAATCTCCCAACACAAGCGACCCAAGGAAGACAACATCAAGACATATATTAATTAAAATGGCAAAGATCAAGGATAAAGACAGACTGTTAAAAGCAGCTAGAGAGAGATAAAAGATCACATACAAAGGAAAACCCATCAGGCTATCATCAGACTTCTCAACAGAAACCTTACAGGTCAGAAGGGAGTCGCATGATATATTTAATGCAATGAAGCAGAAGTGCCTTGAACCAAGAATACTATACCTAGTAAAGTTATCATTTAAATTGAAGGAGAGATTAAACAATCTTCAGATAAGAAAAAGTTGAGAGAATTTACCACCCACAAACCACCTCTACAGTGTATTTTGGTGGGAATCCTATAGATGGAAGTATTCCTAAGGCTAAGTAGATGTCATCCAAGGGATAGAAAAAGAGTACAGAATATGATTCATAACATGCAAAGAATGAAGGAGGAAGAAAAAGGAGGGGAAAAAAAAAACCTTTCGGTTGTGTTTGTAATAGCACACGAAGTGAGTTAAATGAGGCTGTTAGACAGT